CCCTCATTGCATCATCTCGTTTCACTTTCCTTTATTGAGCGCGGTTCCGCAATGGAAGCATCGCCGATTTCGGTTCAAACATTTTTTCGAAGCAGCTGAATGCAAATTGTATCTTTGTATCTGTATCTGCATCTGTATCTGTATCTGTATCTGTATCTGTTGTTTGGTATTGTGTATCCGTGGCTATGGCTTGCTTCTGACCACGACTTTCTCCGAGAAATTGTTGTTATTTATTCATTAAATTTTTGCTTCTGCTATTGTTGCTCCTCCTTGGCTGGAGCGCTCTTGTTGCTTTGGTTTTGCTTGTGGTTGTTGTTCTTGTTGTTGTTGTTTTCATTTTTTTATATTTTATATAAACACACCTACATAGCGTACCAGAAATATTTTTTGCATGAGGCCTCAATAACAAACGGCACAAAAGTTTAATGCAAAATCAACAAAATGTATGAAATATTTTCTGCTATCTGGACACACACACACTCACACACACACACACACACACACACACAGTTTTTGTGGCAATTGATTGACAAAATACGCGGCAGCTGAAGAAAGATGTCAGCAAACAATGAGAAATTGTGCTACCAATTTGATCGCACCTGAAACTATTTACCTGTTGCCGTTGTCATTGCCGCACGGTACATTAACGGCACCGTTAACTTTGGAGCCTCTTGGCCCGGCTTTGCGCGGCCCCGATAAACATCGACGCCAACTGAAACGAAAATCTTTTCTAATTAGTCGCCAGAGTTTTGTGATGCACAGATTTTCCCCTCGTTTCTAACAGTTGCTTTTGTTGTATATGCAAATTAACCAAACAACAAGCACAACAAAAAAAAAAAAAAATGAAAAAAAAAACTTTCTCGTCCAAAAGCTTATTTTAACTTTAATTTAATTCAAATACTTTGTTGAAACAGCAACAGGGCCAAAAACTGTAAAAATCCAGCGAACCGCCTGACAAATGGCTTTTCAGACATAATGCGAGCCAAGCGAAATGAAAGTGAGAACATCTCAAAAGTTTGTCTATTTTTGGTGTAAAAACTATCCAAACTATTCAGATAACATCTGCGTGGCAGCGAAAAATTGAAAGTGTCCAATATTTCGATCTGATTAATTGTATCTTTAACAAACTCAAAACAAATCTAAAGATCTGACACAGCTGACAGCTGTTTCCTATGTTAAGTCGAACGATGAATATATTCATTTTTATACCCTGAACCCATTGAAAATGGGTAAAAAGGGTATAATGTATTTGTGCAAATGTATGTAACAGGAGGAGAGAAGCATCTCCGACCCCACAAAGTATATATGTATATTCTTGATCAGCATTAATAGCCGAGTCTGTCTGTCTGTCCGTCTTTATCGATTATTAACCAAGTTTAAAATAGATGACTTTATACGAGGAAAAGAAAACTACCAGCAGAATACCCTGTAATGTCTGTTGTAAACATCACAGATGACTCGCAACGGTTCTGCCTGGCATGAAGTTAGTTGAAGAAATTTGATAAAGGTGTCTAATGGGACAGATTTAGTTGTCTGGCCAACCTAGAAGGAAGTCGATTTCACTCGTCATTTACTTATGAATAAATATTTGTTACAAAATACAATACTAAAATATATTTGTGAATTAATAGAGTATCCGACTGGTAGGTGAATATCCAGTCTCTTTATTCCGTCCGAAATTATTTGCTTAGGCTTTAAGGCTCTTATTTCTCTAGTGTCCAGGCACTTACTCAGAAGACTTGCTTCTCGTTCCTGTATTTCTATTCTCAAATTTAAAAAAAAAATGGGCAAATAAATCCATTTTCAATGCACTGCAGTGTACTTCAATGTAAGAGCTCGTCTTAGAAGCGTCGCAAACTTTTTGTAGAAAGTTTTTGTAGATTTTGTATGTTTATCAATTAATTTGTTAAGGCTTATAAAACGTTATTATTAAATACTTGTGTTATTAATTATTTACTTTTAATTATTAATATTTTTATTATTAATTATTATTAACTACGCTGATTTTTCATTTGGGCTATGGCAATTAGGTCTTAGGCTCGCTGTATGCTTAAAATTCTATATAAATTGAAAGGGAAAGTTAAGAATTTTTTATTTTACATGATTTGTCATGCCAACTTTTCTTATACTGTACTATATACTATATACTCTCTGTTGAAGAGAAACGTTGTAGGCCAATTTTCAACTCAGTTTTTAGATGTCAATTATGTGAAAAACCTAGAAAATATAAACTTATTTTAAAGCTTTTCCAAGAGTAGGCCAATCAGATGTCATTTTTAATGCCAGATATCATGCGCATAAAATTAAATGTGCACAGAACTTGAATCGTAGCCTGAAAGAATTATCTGCGAGCGACACACGTAAAAGTTTCAGTTGCCAAATTACATTTATTTAAATATCCTTTTAAATGCGCTTAACTGATAAATGTCTGAGGAGCTTAACTGAAAAATTGCTGAGCCTGGGCTTAATTTGACGCCTGCGTGTGCGAGTGTGTGCGTGTGTGTGTGTGTGCGAGTGTGTGCGAGTGTGTTATGGCTGATGTAATGTTTGCCGGCCAGACAGAAAATTTATGGTTATTTCTTGTATTCGGCAATTTGTTTGTTTTGGACTGCATTGGGCCTTGGCCATGGGGCGGCAGTTGCCGCAGTAGTGGCAGCTCGTGTGGCAGCTGTTGAGCGGGCGGCCACGCCCAACGTGCAACTACAGCGTAATTCATTCATAAAAACCCAAAGCTCGACACTTGGCCGGCTGCCTTTCGCATGAATAGCCACGGCTTAAGGCTTGTGGCTTGTGGCTTCTGGCATTTTGGCCATTGGCTGTTAGCTCTTGGCCATTCGCACTAGCCAGATTGTGCGTGAGCCAACATACATTTTTGTAAAACGGATGTGCACGTGTGTGTGTGTGTGTGTGTGTGTGTGGCTGCACGCATTTGCATTTGAATGTACGCCGATCGCCGTACGGTGAAAATCGAAAATTTCAACATTGGCAGATGAACCGATTTGTGTTGGTTTGCTTTTCTCTCGGCCGGGCTGCTGCGCCCCGATTTTCGATTTGGTTTCGGTTACGAAATCTGTCCGAATGCTTTACACTTTTACCGTTACACCGTTGACGTCACACACCTGTTGCTGCGACGAAAGCTGATTAAGCTGTGTGCGCCTGCAAATTACACATACGCCCCGAATGCCGCCCAGGGAATGTGTGCGCATAATGACAATGATTCAGTCTGTTTCGCAAGTCTGCAGATCCGCCTGACAGTTGATAGTGTCTCAGGGTCTCGTATGTCCCCATCTCGCATTCACCTTGAAATGGAAGAGCCCAAAGAAAAAATCGAAGAGGAAAAAAAAAGGCAACAATTGTTGACTTTTGCTGCTAAACGGCGGCGCGCAAAGCGTGCATTTGGTTTTGACGCCATGCCAACCAACCAGCCCATGCTCCAACCTTCCATCCATCCATCCATCTATCCATCTGCAGAGGTGGAAACCTTCCATCATCTATCGCACATCATCGCGGGACGGACAGAGCTCATATCCGATTTTGTTTGTTTTTCGTGTAATTTCTCTTTCATTTCACTTGAGCAATTGAAGCGCGCGCTTATTTGCACTTTTGCTGAGCTCAAATTGTTGACTAATGTGTCACAATTGCAAAGTCAGTCAGCTTTTTATCTGATTGTACCCGTAACTGTTGCCAGGGAGAGGAATGGGGGGGGGGGGGGGGTGCTATTTTCACCTGCAGAACGTGCTTATCATTCAGTTTCACTCTTTGCGAGCTGACCCTTTGCATAGGAACATTTGGTATTTGCCTCCATTCCCTTCTGAATTTTATTATCTGCCATTTGTGATATGAATCTCAGTTAATGTTGCATAATAACACCCATCCCACCACCCCAGACTCCTCTTTCACCAGACAACTATGAAGTCACGAATATGAAAAAGTAATTTCAAGGCGCGCACATGCGATAAACCAGAAAAAAAGAACCGCCCACCTGCCCTGCTCCTCTGCCAAGAGCGGGAGACAGGTCCAGCTCGACGGGGGCAAGGGGCAGCTGAGTAACAGTAGTATGAAAATACATTATAATACACACAACTTTCATTTCTTGCGGCCAAAAAAAGCAACAACAGCAACAAAAAGCGTTCAAAATTAACAAAGGCAGAAGAAGAATATGGCACACACTAGTTGCGACTGTAGAGGTGACGGCGGTCAGGCGGGTTGGTGGGGGGCATAAGCGCTGCGCAGCACCTGTTTATCACCTCATGTGTTGTAATCTGTGTAGCTTCAACTACAACAACAACAACGCACGCGAAGAGCAATAACAATAACAATAACTCAACGAAGAATGCTACAGCAGGCACACGCACACACACACAAATCTGTCGCTCTCTGCGTGCGTGTGTGTGCATGCGAGAGAGGGGAGGCTGCTGACAGAAGGCAGATGAGCAGCAGCAAATCATATGCAGCTGCCTTTGTGTGTGTGTGTGAGCTGCGTGAGCGAGCGCAAGCCAACGACAGACAACCTTGGCGCTGGCTCATAAGCTCTTTCGCTCTCTTGCCCACAAGCGCAACTTTCTCGTATGCTCTCACGCTGCGCCGACGCAGCGCGTCGAGCCCTTGCGCCGTTGACTTTCTTTAATGCGGAAGCAGCGGCAGCAGCAGCCACGGCAGACAAAAGCGCGTGAGCATTTAGCGTTGGCGTTGGCGTCGCTGCTCACCTAACGCGTCTTCTAAGAGCAGAGCTGAGCTGAGATGCTGCTGCTGCTGTTGCTACGCTCTCGCGCGACCGCACGTGTGCAGCGGCTCAAGCCCTCTCTGCCGGCGTCGCTGCCTGGGCCCAAGTGCTGGGACGCTCTCTCTCGCTCTTGCTCTTTACCTATGCGTGTGTGTGTGTGTGGAGTTTTTACATAATTTTACGCTATGCCGCGACGAGGCGTCCGTTAGGTTGGAAACTCTTTAAAAACAGCCTGACAGCGTCGAAAAATTATCAAACCGCAGCTTGTTCCATTCGAATGAACACACCTGTGAATTCGGTGGTGCCTAAGAAAATCAGTTTATTTCAAAGCCGAATTACAGCCATGAAGTTCTTCATTGCCAGCGCTTGCGTCCTGCTCTTAGCATCCGGCATCTCGGCCGATCCTGTGGCGGCGGCTTCGGCGGCGTCCAGCGACGAGCAGAGCGGCGCATTTGCCAAATGCCTGGAAGCCGACTCCATCTCGTGTCTCCAGCTCACGGTACGGATTAACTAACAATCAAGCATAAAGGATTAAATATTACACAACAAATAACAATAATCAAGTGAAAGTGAAAATGATATCATCAACAAATCGATGATGAACCAACCAATGAACCTGCAAGTGAAAGTCTTCTAAAGACATGCAGAAGAAATAAAAAAGAAAACTTTCAAAACACGCAAAAGGATGCGAAGTGAAATTATGTGCCAAACATACCTTGAGAATATGAACAATAATTGTTGCTAATAATTGTAAAATTAGTTGTACTATTGTGAACTAGCTAATGTGTGCTTCCCTTTTCTCTCACGTGTCTCTCTCCCTGCAGCTCTTCCGCAAGGCCAAGTCCATCTTCGACAATCCCCAAATCGAACTCTTCGGCGGCGTCTCATTGGTCAAGGCCAATGAAGGACGCCAGGGCAAATCGCTGGACAACTCCATCGCCGTGGAGGCCGCGCCCAGCGTGGAGGCACGCACCGCCGAGATGGGCAACTATTTCATGGACAACGCGAAGAGCTTCTTTGCCGAACGCTCGCTGAACTTCAACTTTGCCAATGCCGCCCGCAGCGTCGCCCGCGCCATTCCCGATGACATCAAGGCCGATCTGCGTGAGCTGGTCGTGGAGTCCCGCACCCGCAAGAAGAAGCTGCTGAAGAAGTTCCTGCCCATCCTGTTGGGCGTCGGCGCTAAGGTTGCCGTGCTCGCCGTTGGCGCCATCTTCGGTCTGCTCTTCATGGCCAAGAAGGCCCTGGTTGTCTCCGTGATCGCCTTCTTCCTCGCCCTGGCTGCCGGCGCATCCAGCGGTCTCAGCCGCCTCGGCGGCTCCGGCGGCGGCGGCGGTCTGCTCGGCGGTCTCGGCGGCCTGTTCGGCGGCAAGAGCTCCGGCACGGCTGCGGTCAGCTCCGGTGGTTGGTCGTCGGGTGGCGGTGCCGCCAGCGGCGGCTGGTCCTCGGGCGGCAACTCCGGCTGGGACACGCACGGCGCCTACAGCTCGCCCGTGGCCCAGACCATTGCCTACCAGGGCTACAAGCAGACCAGGCGGTAAGGCGACGGCCCGCATACAAATCGATGCCTGACAAGGAGAGAGAACATTCGCTGCTAAACAAAAGAAGAAGAACAAGAAGACGACGACGACGAAGAAGAAGAAGAAGAAAATGATGACCATTTCATTAATGTCTATATTTATATTTATTTATAAATTATTTATTTTTTAATTTATTTACCTAAACGTGAACGAGAGAGCGGGCCAATGGCCCCCAACACCAATTAAGTGCCTTCCACAACTAAACTCTCAGCGTCGCGAGACGGCCGAGAAAACATTTACACGCTCACACACACACACACACACCACCACCACAAACAACAAAAACAACAACTTCACTTTTCATCTACGCACACCAAAAACAACAACAAGAGCCAACATCTACCCCAAAACCTAATTTCACTCTGTACTGTACTAAATATCTCTACACTCTATACTCTGTATCTGTATCTGCATCTGTATCTGTATCTGTATCTTAACTGTATTTTCATGGCTGCTGCGCTTTGATTTATGTGCACAAAATGCTTGAAACTAGTCGCGCCCATAAATCAAAGACCTCAGCTATCTATCATCAATCTGTCTAACTATCTGTCTATCTGTCTATCTATCTATCTATCTGTCTATCTATCTATCTGCATCTGTATCTGTATCTCGAACTCGAACTGTGTTTTCCTACTTTTACCGAAAAGAAAACTCTAACAAATGCTGCTACATCAAAGAATCAAATAATAATTCCGAAAAATATCTACAATTTAAATGCTCTTTCATTTCTCTCATTTCGCATTTCACATTTCACATTTCGCTTTTCCATTTGCCATTTGCATGCAGACATCACTCATACGCACCTTTGTCTGGCTCAAGGCAGGCGATTTGCATTTCTTTTGGGCCCGTCTTCAACTTTCATTTCGTTCTTTGTTATCAGCCCAAAAATCGAAAATGTTTTCTACAAATTTCACCCACTTATATTTATTTTTGGTGCTTTTTCTTCTTCTGGCCAAATCTTCATTTTCACTGCACTTTCCTCGGCCGTCTCTCGCTCTCGCTCTCTCTGCCAAGAATACAACAAAGCAATTTGCTTAAAAATAAAACAAATATTTCGTTACGCGCATTTTGGGCTCATTCAAAGGCTGTCGCTCAATGCAACAACAATAATGGCAGCCACAATGGACGCGTATTTTGCACCTGCCAGCTATTATATTCGCGCCCTCGGCCTTTGTTATGAGGTGCTAAACAAAAATTCGAAGAAAGTTTGAGACGCATCCAAAAAGAAACCAACCACGAGTGGGCAGTACCCAACTAGCAGATACTCTGCAGCCAACCCAAATTATCTTCCAAAAATATTTACATGCACCTTAGACCCTATCCATGGGCAATGCACCTTGGTTAACTTCGGTCTCTATTGTCTGATCATTTTGAAAATCTCAGAAATTATCTATGGGGACCTAATGTGTATACATACCAGAGCAATAAGCGCTAAGGCTTTTATTAATTAGTGTTTTCCAACAAAAGTGGGCAGGTTTTTGAAAAGGGAAATAATTAAATTTGCGCCACGTATCAAGTCTTGCATATATAGCTTTAGATAATACTCGAGTTATGCTTATATGCTTATATTGGGAAATAGCAGAAGAAATTAAAAACAAAATTGGAAATTTGGTATGCATACAATTTAGGAGATATTAGATATTTCAAATCTCAAGGGCTCAGCATATTTAGCTTCAGAGAGAGAGAGATAGAAAGGGAGAGAGAGAGAGAGAGAGAGAGAGAGAGAGAGAGAGAGAGAGAGAGAGAGAGAGAGAGAGAGAGAGAGAGCGGGATGCTCGCTAATACAAGGATGGACGACTTGATTGACTCAGCTGTTCATGCTGATCAAGATAATAGATCCGAGGTTGTCTCCTACTACCTGTTAAGTTTACATAAGACCAATTTACCCTTTCACCCATTCACTATAAATACAGAGTATAGAAAACTCAGCGGTCCACGCAACTTTAGCTAACTGCAGTTGGCAACGGCAACAGTTAGGGCCAACTGCTGCTGCTGCTGCTGCCGCTGCTACTGCTGGGCGCATTACTTATGAATATGACCCAGTTAAGAGGCTGCGCACTTGGCCCTGTCCAACGGCTGACGATTGATGCTGTGCGCTTGCTGTTGCCCTCAACGGCTGGCGGCTGCTCAAACGTGCCGTTTACCGACTGCCGCCTCTTAACTTGGCTTTCTTCCGACTCTTCCGACAAATGCCGGCAATTAATGTGTCGCCGACTGACTCTTCGGCTGCCTTTCGAGCATTTAGTAGCTCTTCTTTTTTTATTTTTATTTTATTTCTTTTTTTTGTTGCTTCTCTCTTCGCTCATTTGGGGCATCTTATCGCAAGCTGTTAGATTTGTTTAGCATTTAACATTTTTTTTTAGCAATTTCTATACACTTGGGGAGGGTATATTAATTTTGTCATGAAGTGGGTAACGTCTGGGAGAAGACGTCTCCGATCCCATTGACTAGTTATATTAGTGCTAGTTTTCTTATTAACTATATTAAATTACCAGGCGTTGATCAGTTGGAATTATTCATTTTGAAGCAAGCAAACTTCAGGCAGATACAATGTAGACAGATTTTCCAGCAAGTATCTATGAATTCGCCCTGCCTAATAAAAGAGATATTCCAATTAAAGACAAACATACTTTTTAATTCAAAATAGAACAAATATTTTGTATTCATGAAGGTTCTATCACTCTACTTTCTGCTCTATTATATATGGATGGAAAAATGTCTATTATATATGACTTACATATCGGCCGAATCGGATATCTATATCATACAGGCGCCATCTAATCATATATGATATATAGAGTGAGGCGGTCAAGGGTATTTGATCTTCGGCTAGCTTTTTGGAAATTTTACCTATTTGTTTACCATATTTTTTTAAACACTTTTTGCCGCAGTTTGTCGCGCTATTTCTTCTAGATAACTTCGTGACTTCTTCGCCCAGCACTTTGTTGTTTTTTCAGTGAAATTTGTGCTGTCACGCCCCAAATCGATTGAAGGCGTCGCCGAGACCAAACATTGCGGGCCAAGTTAACAGCGTCGTTCCCAGCTGTGGGCGTCATCCGACCACTGAACAGCGATTCTGGAGTGTCTGCCGTCTGGTGCAGTCGTTTGGCCAACAGAAAGTGAAAGTGTGTAGCCGGAGAAGGTATTTCAATTATATTTCATACAATGTAACAAATGTGACAAATGCAGTCCATTAAGCGACATTGCGACATTTGTAAACGGCTTCAGTAATATTTTCAAGTAAAGTGCCCCAATGGAAAATGCTTGACTTAAGGAAGTTTTAAATCACATACATATAGATGGGAACAGATAGAACAAATCGAAATTAAAGATAGGTAAATAAATAATTTTGGTAGTCTATTTTGGTTATTTCAAAATGTATTATTAACTATCTCTATACATAAAACAGTTTGCCTGACTGACTGAATGACTGACGGACTGACTGACTGACTGACTGACTGACTGACTGACTGACTGACGGACAAACTGATTGTTGATCAACGCACAAAATGAAATTTCCACTCATGTGATGAAGGTGCACGTTAAGATGGGGTTTCGGGAGATTCCACCCGGAAGTGTGGAAAAATCCCGCAAAACGTTTGTAAGAAACTTTTTTGTTGAACTATCTGATTGGCCTCAAATTCATTTTCAAAGATCTTTGTTCAAATTCATTTGAGTGGTGTTTCTCACTTTTTGAAAAATCCGTCACTCCTCGTTGGAAATGGGGATCTAAGATTTGTTCGACGATGTTTCGCGCTCAAATTTATATCCAAGCATATCCAAGCATATGAAAAATAATTTGAGACGGGCTTTTCACAAAGCTTCCCAGGTGGAAAATGCGATTCTACGATTTTTTGGGCTTAGTTTAGAGCTTTACACAAGAGCTTAATGAATACGTGTTTCATCGATTTGGGAAATTCCACCAACAACAGAGGTTAATTAGCGAAAAACGGTTGTATGAAAGTCTTTGCTAAGCATCTTCTTCAGACTCAAGATTCTCACCGCAATATTCCAGCACTTGATTCAAACACTTGGTTCGTTACTTGATTTATTTTGTATACTCTTGCATCAGCCTCTCGCATTACGCAAGATCTGAAAGCAGCTGTTTTAAGATTAAAGCATAAGTTGCAGCTGACAATTTGTGAGCTACGCCTTGAAGCAGGCACCACAATACGAGAATTTACAGCGGCGCAGCTTAAAGCTCGCAGACAAAGCTTAAAGCTCAGCTGATCGCGACTTTCACACAGCTTTCGCCGCGTACAAAAGTTGGTAACGACTTTCGACTTTACACTGCAACAACAGCTAAAGAGTTAAAGTGTGGTGGCTTTCAGTCTGAGTTAAGACGTGGTTCAAGTCGCGGCTGCTGCTGCTGTTGCTGGCTGAAAAGATTTCGACCAAAAATGGATTTCAAATGCACTGCACGTCCGACTTTGTTATGGCCTTTTATGGTCTAAACAACTTCAAAAAGGCATTAATAGCCGACAAGCCAGAGCCATAACCACAGCCACAACACGGGCGCAACCACTGCCACAGAGTGATTTAGTTACTGTTGTGGTTTTATGTACCCATGGAAAATGTGTGAAGAGGGTATATTGGTTGGTTTTGTAAATATGTAACAGGCAGCAGAAGGCATCTGCTACATATTATTAATGAGGACGACGGGGTCGAAAACCACATAAGCTAGATATATAATATCTATATAGATTCCCTTCTAACGTATCTCCTCACATTCCGATTTGGGTACATTCCACCATATACACACATTTTCGTATGCCATATAAATATGCCCCTTATATGATAAAGATTTGGCTTTAAGCTCCTAATTAACTCAAGAATGCATTTCCCATGCGTAGAGTTGGGCTTATGGTAAATAACGACAGCTCGGCTTCGACTACAGGGTATCTTCTTGTGGGGCACTCTCGACTCCCGCTCTCAGTTGGGTTGTTGTTGGGTGTTGTTGG